TCTCCAAGAATGAATGGAGAAACAACAAGAACACTATCCTGAGTGATCCCCTTAAAAATATAATCTTCCTTAGAGAATTTGGGGTAGGTAGATGGTGCAGTGCACAGAGCGCTGGGCCTGGAGTTAGGAAGACTCATCTTCCTGAGTTCAAATAAGGCCTTAGACACTTAACTAGCTGTGTGACCCTGGGCAAGTCACTTAACCCTGTTTGCCTCAGTTTCCTCATCTGTAAAGTGAGCTGGAGGAGGAAATAGCAAATCAGTCCAGTATTTTTGCCAAGAAAACCATAAATGGGGTCAGGAAGAGTTGGACATGACTGAGAATAATTCAACAACAACAACAAACGAGGATTTCATTAGCCAGCCAGCCTGCCTTTTTCCAGGTGTTTTTACATTTCAGGGTAGCAGCACGGCTACTATTCTTTTTTGTTATTCCATGAATGGCCTACTTCGTTTTCTTATGGACCGACTTTATACTCCTGTATTGTTTTAGATCACTTCTTGCATATATGTCATCATTGGTAATGTGCTGCTACTGCAGGCTACTACTTATAACCATCCACTGCCCTCTGGGTCCCTCATAATTCTGATTCTTTGGAGATCTCATGATAGTGTTCCATGTTTCACAGTCCAAAAAGAATCACAGGGAGAGCACTGGTTTTAAAAAAGATGGGTTTTTTCTGTCAGGGAACAGCTTGGGATCTGTAAAAGCACTTCCCAAATGCAATTTAGCTCATTCTCCTCAATAGCTGATGGAACCCAATTGGGAATTGAAAAAAAAAACTAAACAGTTTTCTGGGTTGTTTCTGTGTTCTATTCACTACTTTCCAAAATTACATCATTTCATAGTGAATACCCACCAACACTGCTTCATTTCCATTTCTGGGGATTTAAGGGATAAGGAAGTCAAGCTCTTTTGCTACTTGACTCTCCTGAGTTTTCTACCACGCCTCAGCTGCCTTCTCACTCTGGACTATGCCTCTGCTCAGACCCCTTCTGCCACTGGTGAGTTCCTTCTGGGGTCTAGCTTGTTAAGGGCTCAGGCCTGCCATCCTTCATTCCCTTTCCAGTTGTGCTTCTGACTCTCTGGATTTTGCCACAATGCCCCTGCCATGGGTACCTTCTGGTCCTTTATCTTTCCACCCCACCCCACCCTACCCCCTCCTTCCACCCTTTTCAGCAATCTTTCATATACTGTCTTCTCCCATTGGAGGGAGAGAGCAGACTGTCTTTCATTTTGTTCGCATTCTGTATCCCCAATGAACCTGTTGCTTGCCTGTCACTGGAAGGATACCAGATAAAGAAGGAGGGAAGATGGTGGTGGTTCCGAATTGACCTGGTTACCAATTTTTTGCTGTAGTCATTATTCCTTCTACAGGCAACACATGAAATTATGAATTACATTTTCATGGTAAGACAACAAGGAAATGTCTGTATGATGATAACAGCTTGTAAAAAGAGCTGCTTTTCTTCTAGAATTTGTTTCTGTCTGCTAAGAATGAACGCAGTTTCTAACTGCAATGAATTTTAATGTTCTGGGCTCCTTGACTGTAACGTACTGAATAGTATTGGTATAGCTGTAACACTGATGGAGTAGATCAGTCATGACTCCAGTGCAGTTTTTTCAACTATACAGCACTGTAAAGTGCTAGTAAGCTTGGCTAAACACTTTCTTCCAGCTGCCAAACTGAATGATCTATTTACATTTTCAAAAGCCTCTAGGAAACTGAACTTTGCACTTATAAAATGAAGGAAAGATATGTATGTTTTCTACTGACATACAAAATCTCTAATACTACTAAAGCATATTCCTTTGCTCTCCTGCTTATTTTTTCTATTCTTTTTTTTGTCATAAATAAATTTTAATGACATAAGGGACACAAATGAGGACTCACCTATATGAGCAACAAGTTGACCTTGTGAGAATTGCTAGATAGATGGACTGGGGACACTTATTAGCCACGTAATCCCGGGCAAGTCCCTTAACCTCTTTTTGCCTCAGTTTCCTTATCTGTAAAACTGGGATAAGAACAACAGCACTGGCCTCACAAAGTTGTTAGAGTCCCATGAGATAATACAAGACAAGTGCTTTACTGCAAACGTGAAAGCACTGTTTTAAATATCAGCTATAATCAAACACTTCAGATTCATCTGATCATTTATTTAGGAAACCACAACTTGAATTTCCCTCTCAGACACCCCCCCCCATCCTCCAAAGCCATTTCAATTAGATTTCTGACTCCTAGGCTTTGTTTTTCCATTTGGGGGATTAAGGTATAAGAAAGTAATGCTTTTTGTTACTGAGTCACTGTGGTGCAACCAATTCAGAGAGGGTGCCAGGAAGGGGCTTAGAACCACTCAGGTTACTAGTTCTAGGCTTTGGTCATCACCTTGTCCACAGATAACAGTGACAAATCAAGGTTGTCAAAGCTGAACTTGGCACTAAATTACATCTTTTTGGGTGCTTTTTTAAAAAAAGTATATTTTCTGATTTTAGTTTCATATGCTAAAATAATTTATGTTGATTGGAATATATTTATTAATTTAGAAATGGAGTTTTTGGTTGTTTTTGTTTTTGTTTGGTTGTTTTTGAGGGAGGGTAGAAAAAAGCAGGTGAGAAGGATGGGATGTAATACGTCTGTTCACCAAGCTATAGGTCAGTCAGTTAGTGAGCAAGCAATTAGTGGCCCCTGTGTGCCAGGCAGTGTGAGAAGTGCTGGGGATTTAAAGAAAGGTAAAATAAACAAAGAGCTCATGTAATAGGTAGGAAAATCATTTAAATATAAAATACAATAAACTATATTCCTGTCAACTAATATGACTGTTACTGATTTACCTAGGTCATTTGTCAGGCTATAAATTACTGTATTTACTAGTCAAAATTCACCTTAAACTTTGCTCCATTCACTTTGGCTGCCACTTCATTCTCTTTACATTGCTCTGATTATATACTGAGGATATTAGGGGACTGGAGCAGCCTGGGAGGGATTTTGGAATTGCTCACTTTCTCCTTTTCCCTTATCTCAGTTCCCTTCCACCTTTGATACCAACATAAACCCAACTTCGCTTTCTCTTCTGTATCAGCTTGCGATTCTATTTGCTTTCAGAGATTAGAAATAACTTGCTTGTTATCAAAAAGCATGTGTTTGTGGTTTGGTTGCTGAACATACTTTCACACACAAAATACAGTATTTGTGTACCTATACACTTTGTATATAGTATGTATACAATCACATACAGAACTGCAGAATGGCAGCATCAGTAGGGACTTTTGAGATCACCAGGTTTCAGTTCTCTCTTTTTACTCTGAAGAAAACGAGGCCCAGAGAAATTAAGTGCAACATTATATGGCAAGTGAGGAAATTCAGGATTCTCATCCAGATCTCCTGATTGCACAGTAAAGTGGAAAGAACACTGGATTATGTCCTCACATATGTCAGTCAATAAGCATTTATTAAGCACCTTCTACATGCCAAGTACTTGGCTAAGAAAGCAAAAGACACATCCACATATATGCAACATAAGGTGGTAACCAGCTGTTTTGGGACTCTAAAGAAAAAAAGAGCCTAAACCAGAAGGGACTTAGGCCAGATATAAGGCATTAGTCCTCTCTAGAATGGAGTGGATGAAATATTCAAATCGGTAAGTATGAGAATGACCTAAGAGGAAAACATTTCCCAGGGTCTTTAAAATGTCATTTTACTCTTAAAGGCATAGATTTAGAACTGGAAAGGCCCTTAAAAGTCATCCAGACTCTTTCACTTTTTACAGTCTCTGTGTCTATACTGAAATCTCAGCTTCTCTTCCAGAAGTCTTCCTGTTTCCCTTAATGTTAACACCTTCCCACTGAGCTCATCTCCAATTTACTCTGTATATATCTTGCATAACAAATTATTTGCTCTTTTGTCTCCCCCATTAGAATGTGAGCTCCTTGAGAACAGGGGCTTGTTTCTCCAGAGTTTAGTACAGCACTTGGCACACTGTATTAGCTTAACAAATGCTTACTGACAGACAATACAATACAGATAGATATCACATATATGCGTGTATGTATACACACAACTTTTTGAATACATATCATATATAGTATATATGTGTATACATATTTCTTTGTAAACACACATAAGATCTTTGTATACATACCAGATATGTGTGGTGTGTGTCTATCTATATACACATACACATATAATGTATATGTGTATATATTCTTTGCATATGCACACATGATTCTTTATATACCATGTGCATAGTACACACACATTTATATATACACATAGACATATACAATATATACACCATCTATGTATAATATATGTGTGTCTCGTATTTATACCATACTTATATGGAATGTATACAAAGAATCATGTAAGGTTACAGCTGGAGAGGAGTGTACTGGCCCATATAAGATGACACAATTTATGAGTTGGAAGGGACTTTTGAGATCACTTGGCTCAATTCTCTTCTTTTTACCCTATGAGGAAATGGAGGCTCAGAGAGGGTATCAGCGACATGGCCAAGACAACATAAGTGGCAGAGCTGGGCTTCGAACTCCGGGGCAGACACTCCACTTTCCACCCCCTCGCTGCACCTTGCTGCGGATGGGCAGCCATCCAAGCGAGAGCAGAGCACACTCGGACTCCGGGGATGCCCTGAGCACCCGGGGCTGCCCAGGCTTCTCTTCGCACACGCTGGAGAGAGCAGGCACGCCGCTCCCCCAGCACGGTCCTGTCCACGCACACACCTTGACCCTGATGCTCCCAAGCTGCCCTATGACGCAGTCCCCCGGCGGCCCCTGGAGAAGGAGCAGAAGGCGCAGCCCCTCATGCCCGCGGCGGACGCCGAGTCCGAGGCCGGGGAGCCCGTTAGGAGTGAAACTTCCCCGGTGCCGGGGTGGAGTAGCGCTGCGCTCCGGTCCGTCCCCCGGGCGCCGGGCACGCACTGGCACTGCCGGCCGGCAGGCAGCACCCCGGGGGCTCTGGCCCCGCTCGCCCGTTTGCTCACCTGCTCCGGCTGCTCCTGGCCGCCTCCTCCAGGACCACGCTGCTGCTGCTGCTGCTGCTGCGGCTGCGGCTGCGGCTGCCGGGGACGCCCGCGCCTCCTCGGCTGCTGCTGCTGGGGCTGTTGCCCCGCGAGCAGGCTCTGGCCGCTGTCCTGCTCCTCCGGCTTCGTAAGCTCCGGCCCCGGCCCCGGCTCCGGCCCCTCCAACCCAGAGTCGGCTCCGTCCTCGTCCTCGTCCGGCTCCCCGTCGCCGCCCGCGCCGCGCAGCAGCTCCCCGGCGGAGCACATCCCGCCCCCTCCCCGGGGCCAAGTCTGGCCGCCCAGCTGGGAGGGGATCCGGGACGCACTCACGGCCTCGCCCGCTTCCGAGTCTTCCCTCCCGGACCCCCGCGACTGTTGACAGGCCGTTGGGCGGGAGGGCGCCGCCGGCTCGGCTCGGGGGCCCCGGGAGCGCCTTACGGAATCGACGCTCCGCCCAGCCCCGCCCCGGCTGGCCGGCCCCCAGGGACAGAAGTGAAAGGCTCTGTCCCGCTCCCTTTAGGCACTCGCCAGCCCCGCCCCTGAGCTCGGCCGCCCCGCCTCTGGGGCGGAGCCTCGAGGGTCTGGGAAAGGGAGGTCGGGGGAGGCGGCATCTAGGGCTCCCCTGGCTCAGGTATGGGCCACTTCTGTGGCTGGCAGTAGGCTCTTTCCACTTATCCTCCTCCTCCTCTCCCCCTCTACCTCTTCTTTTCTCTCTTCCTCCCATTCTTTATTCCCCCCCATTCTCCTCCTCCTTTGCCTCCACTCCTCCTCTTCTTTCTATCCCTCTTTCTATTTGTCTCCTCTCTTTTTTGCATCCCTTCTTTCTTTCTTTTCTTTCCTCCTTTGTTTTTTTCCTCTCTCCTTTCTCCCATTCCTGGTCTTTATCTCTTTTCCCTATTTTTACTTTTCCTCTTATTTTTATTCTCACTTTTTTTCTTTCCAAATTCTTATTTTCCTTGCTCATCTCTTTTCACTCCTCTTTTCTTGCCACTGATTTAAACTCCTTTTTACTCTCGTCCCTCTTTCTCTCCTCTTTTTTCTCTTTTGACCTTTCATCTCTCACCCTTTTTCTCTTTCCCCTTCTTTTCCTCTCCCTTTTTTCATGCCCCCATTCTTTCTTTCTCCCCTTTCCCTAGTTTCCTCATTTCTTTTTCTTCTTACATCTTTCTACCTGTTTGTCTTCTTCCTCTCTCCCTCTCTGTATCTTCCCATTTCCTTTCCTTTCTCTTCTTGTCGTTCTGGTCCTTCTGTCTCTGCTTCTGTTTCTCTTTGTCCATCCTTTTTTCTGATCTTTTTCCATTTCTCTTTCTCTCTCCCCTCTTCCCGTCTTTCTCCCCTTTCTCTTTTTCCCTCCCCTACTCTTTTCTGCCTCCACTACCCTTTTTCTCCCTCCCCATTGACCCTATTTCTTCTCTTTCTCTTTCCCCCTCCAGAATCTCCCTCTCTATCTTGGCTCCTCCTGCACTCTTCCCTCCTCCCCCCCTCCCCCATCCAAGACTTGTTTTCCTTTTCTGTTGACTAACACTTAACTTCACTGGAATGCAGTCAGAAAATTAGCTCTGGCACAGAGTCATGGGACCTGGAATCCAGGCTTGATTCTGCCATTAAATTAGCTGAGTGACCTCGGTCAAGTGAATTCACCCCTCTGCGCTTCTACTTCTTCATCTATAAAATGAAGGGTCATAGAATCACAGGTCTAAAGTGGAAGGGACTTCAACCCTCTCATTTTACAGATGAGAAAATTAAATTAAATTTAAATTCCCTGGACATTGATTGCCCAAGGACACACAGCTATCAGAGGTTGTATTTGAATCCTGACTCTCAGACTCCAGGATAAAGTTTAGACTAGTTGATTTTAAAGATCTCTTCCAGCTCTAAAATTCTTTAATAGGTGTCTTCTTAGTGTATGGCAAAAGATGAGCCCAGTGGTTGGGAGATAGAGCTACTTAGATTAGATTGTTAAATTCAAATTTCTCTTGGCCTAGTGAGCTGTTAAAAACAACAGAATTTCACAGTGGACAAATATATACCTTTAGACAAGAATTGCTCCTTCTTTTGGGAAGGAGGAGGATAAAAAATGTCATTGGCTAGCATCAAACGAAAGAGAGGAAAGATGGCTCCTTTCCTTTCCGAAAGTCATTAAAACACAAAGGAATATATTCAAGATAAAATATATAGAATTTAATGCCACCATAGAAATAAGAAGTTTCTATGGGACCAATTCCTTTCTTCTTCTTCTTCTTCTTCTTCTTCTTCTTCTTCTTCTTCTTCTTCTTCTTCTTCTTCTTCTTCTGTCAGTACATTCAATTGCTGAAAATTTGCTTTAATGTTTGGTAGTATTTGTGATAAGATCTGATTTACTTTTGGAATTTTGAGAAAAAAAATTGTGCAACACCATAACCACACGGGGGAACTTAGGAGGCATTACTACATTTGTGGATGGCTAAGTAATATGCCCTCCTTCCTATGACTTTTTGTATCAAAACATACCAGTTTTGAGGCTGTATTATAGGAAATGCTTACATCACATACACACATAGACTCATGTAGAGACACAGAGAGAGGTACAGAAGATAATTCTTTAGCTTCACCCTAGCTGTTGACACTTTAAAAAAATATTTCATCTCCTGTCTCTGTCCTTTCATTTCCATAAGGATTTATTGGAGACTTCCTAATACGATATAAAGAGTACTGGCTCTAGGGGCAGCTAGGTGGCGCAGTGGATAGAGCACCGCCCTGGATTCAGGAGGACTTGAGTTCAAATGAGGCTTCAGATAATAACACTTACTAGCTGTGTGACCCTGGGTAAGTCACTTAACTCCATTGCCTAGAAAAAACAAAACAAAAAAAAAGAGTACCGGCTCTAACAATTACTACCTGGATGACATTGGGCAAGTCTCTTAACCTCCATGGGCCTCAGTTTCCTCATCTGTAAAAAGTGGGTACTAGACTAAATGGCCTCAGGTCTTTTCTATTTCTGTTTCAGTGATCTATTGAATGTCTACTTTAATATGTTCAAAGCATGGCACCCATCTGATAGTATGACAAAATTCAAACCCAAGAAACTGTTGTTCACAATATTAGGTGATATACCTTAGATAAATGTCAGATAATAGCTAAATCCAGTGGTCCCCTTTTCAGTCCTCATCCTCCTTGTTCTCTCTTTATCTTCAGAAACTAATCTCCTAGACTCTTATCTTTTGGCTCTAGAAAGGGTACACTGGCCTTGTTCTTTAGGCTTAATATTTAAACAGGAATCATCTCCTTGACATATTCTGCTAGTTGTCATCCAACCTTTGCTTGAAGACCTCTACTAAAGGAGATCCCACTATTTTCCAGCCTATTCCATTTTGGAAAATTGACTCAATTTCTAGGATTGCTTTTTGCCCCCTTGAAATCAAAACTCATTTGGCCTCTGTGAAACTTCTACTCTTTGCTTTCAGTTTTGCCCTTTGGCACTAAGAAAAACAGGTGTAATTTGTTTTCCACATGACAACCTTCAGTTGCCTGAAGATAGAAGTTAGAGTCCAATCTAGAACTGAAAGGCCTTAGAGGTCATCTGGTCCAACTTGTTCAGGGTTCTATATATAGTAAATAGTAGAATGAGGATTGATGTTAAAATTGTGATTCCAAGTTCAGTGCTCCTTTCACTGCACCAAATTATTTTGGCCCTGCTTCCTCCCCTCAACCTCTCCACTTCTTTTTTCTAGGCTAAATAGCTCCAGTTCCTTATGTAATGTGCTCTGGATGTGTTTCATTATCTTGTCTGTCCTCCTCTCAATATCTTCCAGAGTTTTATGATATATGGTGTCAGAGGGGAAAACTAGCTACCTGGGGGATCAGGCCCATAGGGAAAGTAATATTTAAATTAGGCTTTGAAAGATACATAAGAATTTGACAAGAAAATAAGGGGACTGCTAAAGATTGAGTAAGGTCCAAGACAAGAAAGCTCACACTGTGTTTTTGAGAGAGAGAGAAGTTTAATTTGGCTGGAACGGCAGTTCTCAAACTTTTTGGTCTCAGGATTATTGATTATCGATGGATTATTATGATCTACCAGAGAACTCAAAATAAAATCCTATGAGCTTTTACCTCAAACAGCAAGTTTCACTAATTACAGCTTAGGAAAATTTTTTCCAGGATTTACATCTCAAACTTAAATTTGTCCTGGTGTAAAAAGCCAATCGTTAGAGATTATTTCTATATACTTGCAAATTCTCAGCAAGCCATAACCCAAACAAGCTTTTTGGCAAGTTTACACATTAAAACAATAATCTTACAATTTTCATAAGTGATAGCCAAATTGTTATTAGCTGTAACCAGATTATGAAAAGTTGCTTGATATAACTGATACAAACGTTTACCAGTTTGAAACTTAAAAAAACCCCAAAACCCATTACTGATCAGGTGACTTCAATTTTGTTAAATGTATTTCCAAATTACTTTACACAGAGAATCAGCATCTCATCATTAACGTGTTAAAATCACAACTTTAAAAGAGAGGGCTTAGCCAAGTAACTCCGGCTGGCTTCTTTACCTTGGTCCAACCTCCTTTCTTCTCTCCCCAGGTCTGCTGGGGTTTGAGATGCAGTGGGGGTTGCAGTGAGCAGGATGTATTGGACCTGGGTAGTGCTTCCAGGCAAAGGTTGCCCCAGGGCCCAAGGCCATTGCCAGTGGGGCCTATGCTGTAGCTGCTGCCCCTCCCCCCCCTTTCCTTTTACCTGGTGTGGGAGGGGAGGGGTAAAACTGTCTTCGAATCTGATCTGGAATGAGAGAGGTGAACAGAAAAACTCTCTTGACTCAAGGGAAGGGAGAAAGAAAAGGGAATGACCAGGGTTGTAAGGAGGAGTTTAAAACTCCTTAAAGATCAGTCACAAAACCTCCAGAATCTGCCAAGATGTTTGTTAGCTGTTCTAACGTTTCCCTGTAGACTCCTCGAAGGAGGATCCAGGGGTACACAGGAAGGGAGTAAGTAAACCTCAGGGAACCAAGAAGCACCTTCAGTCTCCCCAGTTCCCCAGCACCAAGAGAATTGACAGAGTTGGGCATGCACTTCTGGATAGGGCACCCGTCCTTATCTTCTGTGCTGTGGAACGTGTGCCCAGATCCCTTGCCTCAAGCAGAGCTAGTGGAGGGGGAGCCTGAGAGCATCAGGCTGAGTTTGAGACAGCCTCTCAACTGTCTGCCTGAAAAGCACATCCAAACCGAGCCTTCCTAGGTGCTGGAGAGCGACTCCACTGCAGGAGATAGGGAGAGGGGGGAGGCTTACACGCCTTCCAGTCTTGGCTGGAGAAGAGCTTGGGGCTTAGGCAGTTTCCTTGTACAGGCCACCAAAATGTGGAGGCGTGGGGGTGCTAGGACCCTGAAATGTAGAAAGCAAAAGACATGGGTCCTGACTGAATGAATTCTCCCCAAGCCTTCTTTTAGCCAAAACCAAGGTTTATTAGAACATTGATGGGGGGGGTGGTGGTGAGGTTTTAAGAAGCTGCCCTATTGGCCAGACTCTTAAGGAGTC